CACCGAAAAACTAGTAAACAAGAACTAAAACAAAATATCAAACAATACAATGCAAACAAAAAACCGAAGAAAATGCAATGCTAAGTTCCTTATGGACTCGCCAAAATATCAAAGTACAGAAAAGTCTTGTGGTAGTTACGGAGGAATTCGCAACAACTTTTCACAGTCCTGTGAGAAACGCACACATTAGGTTGCTTTCATTATATCTGCTTTGATCCGACAATGGTGTGACCGTACTAGTTAGCCGGTGTTCACCCCTTGAAGGAAGGATCGTCATCTAAAGATCCCTCATGAAATAAGTCAGATAAGTACCTCGAACGTCGGTATTAATTCATATACATTCCTCGGCCCACGGTTCTCGGGATGTATATGGATTAATACCTCCGTTTTCGGTATTTATCTCTTAGTAACATTTGTTCCTAAATGTAATAAGCCTTCCATGCAATCGTTTGACTACGCTAGAGCATTGTTGTTATGGCGGACATCCACATTGAGATGTTAAAGTGATTGCTGTTGTTCCAAACAATCCTCTGACCGATATTCATGGAATATTGCGGGCCCTCTGTTATTAATCAGCGTCTTTTTATTTGCCAGAGACGTAGGTCGAGAGGCATTGGCTACAAACCCTTATACTGCTGTGCTTTTGGTATCAAATTGACAGACGTTAAAACAATGAAAACGGTGACCAAAACCTCTCTTTACATCATTAGCTCAGATTCTTTAGTGCAACAGATTTTTGACGATGTATTTGTGTGATCAGTGCTGAAGTTAACACTTAATGAACGAAATTACAAGGTAAGGAAGTCTATTGACCTACACGTTAGACAAATTCCAGTCCATCCACTTGAAGTTGCAGCCAAGCATTGGCCCACTTTGGACTGGAAATTATTCTCCTCACCTCGATCAATAAACCACTGAGAGACAGATCATGCGATTACCGCGCTTGTCATTGAGTTCAGTCGTCGATGACATACTCCAGATTTTTGGTAAACGTTTGCTTTGTGATTGGCAGTCTGAGCCGACGATTTGTGATGATGTGCTGGTCAGCAGCTTCTCTGCAATTATGCTTGTGCAGTGTAAGTCACTGAGTATATAATTTGATGCAGACCCATTGGTCGGATTTGTGCATGCATTTCAAGTTCGAATTTGTACATGCATTTCAAGATCAAGCGAACATAAATATCCAAATTACGTTCTTTTGGGTAGAAAAATTAATTGTCCATATTCATGTACTCACGAAGATATTCGAGAATTTGAAAGTAATAACTCTCTACAGTGCTGTCACGAAGTCCGAATTGGGAAACAAAATGTGCATGCTTACAAGATCTATTCAGGCAAGGAAAAAAAATGTACACCTGAGCCTGCCAATTGTCCGACCTACAAGTCAGCGAACTCCCTTCTCCAAGTTTGCAATTTGTTTTATGAATTCTAAACTCCATCACTGATCACACAAGTATAACGTCATCACATTTTTCCAAAAATCTATTGTACTTAAGAGTCTGAGCCAATGATATATGGAGAGGTATTGGTCAGTGTACTCATTGTTTAACCAGCTGTTATTTGATGCCAATTGTTCATCAGAATAACGGTTTGCAGCCAGTGCTTCTCGACTCAAGTCTAGCAAATAAGAAGACGTTAATCGATATCACCGAGCCCGCAATCTTACATGAATACGGGTCAGGGGATTTTTGGTTCAACAGCTGTCACTTTAACATCTCAATGTGGATGTTCGCTATAACAATAATGTACTGGCGCAGTCAAACGATTGTATTGAAGGCTTATTACATTTAGGACCAAATGTTATTACAATTAGGACTTTATTACATTTAGGACCAAATGTTATTACATTTAAGAATTTATTACATTTATGACAGTTATTACGATTAGGCCTTCAACATCCCCTGGGGGAATTTTCGCGGCGACCATTCATCTTGGGGCTCGTTTTTCATGTTATTTCCTTACTTTATTTAAATCGTGGACAAACCTCACACGTGGAAGCTCTTTGCGTATTAAAAGACCATTGCTCATGGAAAAATCAAAAACTAAAGAAAGTCCTTGATAAAAAAAAGAAAAAAATATGGGTCCAAAAAAGAAAGAAAGAGTACCATTCTGTCGAGAAAATTAGAAAAATTATTTTGTGAAAACGACTAGTACAGGCGAAGCGCCACGCTGGTGTCCAGATTTCGAGCAAAGAAGTCGCCGTCAAAGCAAAATTTGCCATAAATGATGTTAAAAACGAGATTTTCTTTTCTTAAGCAAGTACCAACCTTGATACAATCACCTCGAATCGTAACTTTGAAAGCTTTCTGTCGATTCGTTGTCTGACTCCTAAGCACATTTTGAGGTTTTTCCATTTCTGCCGCGGGTTTTGCGTTTGCCTTTGGCAACTTTGTTCATTATTGTGTCATCCTCCTCAACGCCCCACTGAGTAATCGAGATGAAAAAAACGTTTTTGCAATGGGTAACTTTTATTGGGAAATCTCGACCCATCGTTATTGACGTCAGGTGGTTCTGTTGTCCTATTGGTTTGCGGTTTCAGGAGGCGAGATAATCTCCTGGTGTGACGCGAGTTCTTTGCGAACCTTTAGGAGCTTAAATCTCGCATTTGATTATGAGAGGAATACAACCACTTTGAGCGAATTTATAGGGTATAGATTTGACCGGTTTCCGTCAAATTTCACAAAAACATTCCAGGAATAATGTTCCAGAAAGTGCGTCGGGAAAGTTTGATATTTGAAACATTTATCCCGTGGTGTCCATTTACGAAACATGCCTCGCATAATTTTAGCTATTCCAACTTTAGATGCCTGTATTTAGACAACCAATCGTAATATGGAAAAAGCGTGTCATACTTTTGTTGATTGATGCCTTGTGAATAAGACTGTATAGCAATTTTGCTCGTGCCAAGGCATCCGATACCCGATAAATTCAGTAGAAGAACCTACGGTAGTTTTACGCCTTACCGGCTCCTGACACTTCCTTAAAAGAAAACTCGCCTAAATTATGTTTTTATCGTAGTCTGCAGTTATTAAGCTTTCTTCTGATGTATGGTTTGCTAGGATTCTACTGAAACTGCGCGTAGGAATTATTTCCCGAAGAACACCTGCGCAGGTAGGAAGTAACCCTAAACGCGTTGACTCGTCATGAACATTGTATTTGGCTTCTTCTCGTACTTCTTCTTCTTCTCTAAACCTTGAATTGGCATCGCTCAAGCCATTTTTTTTTCTTTTTGATGAGGTGAAATATATTTAGTTTGTAAGAACTTAAAGAAAGCGACAACACTTTTGAGTTTGTAAGACATGTTTCCACAGAAACTTCTGTCATCTTCAGTTAATTACTGTACAAAGCGTTGAAAGTTGAATTATATAGTAAGTAGAACAATACTAATTATGATGAATAGTGACAACAAGAAAAGAGGTAAAGCATGAAAGTGTGAGAATTAAAAAGATACTTTAGATTTACATGGTGTAATTGCTGATTTAAAGATGGTTGTTCTCTTTGAAAATGAATAGCCTCTTTTATCTTAAGCTGAAAGCTGGTGGAGGCGTGATCTAAAACATGGAAATTATTTGTGGAACACAAAGCGCGACAATGTGGAGAATCTTGAATAATACTACCTGTGGAGGATATTATTCATCTGCTGTCTTTTTGCCTCAAAACCACGCAATTTACATATAATGGCACCTACTATCAACAAGTTTTTGGTACAGCGATGGGTTCGCCCGTCTCTGCTTTCATGGCTAACATGGTAATGGAACATGTGGAACAAAGGGCCTTAGCCACTTCACCGGTTAAACCGTTTTTCTGGAAACGATATGTCGATGATGTTATTTCTGCGGTATCCGGAAATGAAGCGGAGCACCTCCTGTCGCATTTGAATTCAGTAGAGCCGTCGATCCAATTCATCCTTGAGCGCGGAAAGGATAGACATTTGCCCTTTCTTGATTTAAATGTGTCCAGAGGGGTTCAGGGTAATTTAGAGACAAGTGTCTACAGTAAACCTACCCACACCGACAAATACCTCGCTTTCGATTCTCACCACCCTATTTGCCTTAAAACGTCTGCAGCCAAAACTTTACTTAGGAGGGCTGACTGTCTACCATCTTCACTCGATTCGAAGGCTGAGGAGAGGAAATATGTTTCTGGTGTCCTAAAGGCAAATGGCTATATAACCAGCGACTAGTTTTCTGTTATTCCTTACATTCAGGGTGTTACGGAACCCTTACAAGAGAATTTTGAATTGCCACAACGTTCAAGTTGCTCAAAAACCTTTTCGAACTTTGGGGCATATTTTCGCCAAACCTAAGGATCCTGTCACGAAAGAACAACGAACCGACGGCATTTATTCTATTCCTTGCAATGACTGTGACAACAAATACATCGGACAGACCAAACGTCAGTTTGTTACACGTTTAAAAGAGCATCAAAGAGCGGTTTTCTTTTGCAAAAAAGGAAAATTCAACTTTATCGGAGCACACATGCCTAACTAACCTTACAGTTGGGTGGGATAATTCTAAAATTATCACCACTGATCGGCGTTACCACCAGCGTCTTTGTTTGGAGGCTTGGCATATTAACTCCGCCCACGCTCCTTTAAATCGTGACGATGGCGGTTTGCTTCCTGACGCCTATTTACACCTCGTCAGAAAAAAGGCCACTATTTAGTGATCATATAAAAGGACCTCTTGTTGCAGCGTTTAGATCACCCCTGATGAAGGCACTAGACAGGAGTGTCGAAACGTTGGGTCTATGAATTGTAACTTTTTCGGTTACATTCATTAAATCTGTAAACCAGAGTAGCATCAAACCATGTCTTGTTGAATACTGCTTGAGCAAAGTTTTAATTTGACTTAGTTCACAAATTTGATAGGTGCAATCCTGTTGTAAATACATGTAACCCCCCTTGTTATTGATAGTAGTGATTTGGAGATACCAGAACTACTAATAGGATATCATTGATGGTTGGTTGCATTTGAATGGTTTAATCCGTAGAGTTGTTGATGATTGCCAGAAGAAAATTTTTTAAGAATGGGAAACCTGTTAACTCTACGGTTGCTTTGAATGCAGGCGACTTTAAGACATGTGGGAAAGGCATGGGGATGTCAATTTTGCAAGGTGGACCAGCACCCAACTTTTTGGCACCAGAAATAGCATCCTATCTGGTTGGGGAACCACTTTCTCCATTATTAAACCAAGACCCTCTACTTAGGACAGCTGCTGAAAGAGTAAGTTAAAATAATCTATGATCTGAAACATTTTTCATGCCCAATCTAGAAAATAATAACACATAAAAAAGTATACCACCTTTGTGTCCAAATGCGTTTTCACTTCGCATGCCAATTATGTCATCATTATCGACTACATGTGTCAGTTCAACCTTACTCTAAATCCACAGTGTTAAGCAACAACAACAACAACAACAACAGTTAGTATTTCAACTTGTTTTTCAGTTGGCAAATGCAAATACAGATGAGATAGTGACAGCAGCTCTTACATACGATGACATGCTTGACGTGTTAGAATCAATAGGCTATTCAGGCATTCCCCAAAAGGAGACTCTGTCTGGAATACAACCCATTATCCATTGAGAACTTTTCAAAGCAGACTGTCTTATAATTTTGATTCTGGTAGTTATACTTTACATATGCACAGTATTACTTGCCTCACACTGCTCAAGAAGTGTTTATGTGTAAGTGACTATTGTAATAAATAGTTTTATCAAAGCTCCTTCCCTTCTTCTGCCCACAAGGGAATTCAGGTACATAATACCTGCTGCCTTTCTTTTCTTATAGGTCAATTTGTATCAAAGATCAGTTATCCCTACTGGTGCAAATTGAAAGTGGATTGGATGAATGTGGTATTCTCAGTTATTTGAGAAGAAATACAGAAACCTGGAAACCTGTTTTTGCAGATGGGAGTTATTTTTCTATTACTGCAGATTAATTTCTAGACCAGATGATAGTAAACTTCGGTGATTCGCAGGTTGCAGAGATAAACACTTTCAGGTTCTTCAGTGATGTTATGGCATCCACCGATGCTGGAGGTATCTTTGTTACCTATTTTATACCGGTAATTCCCTTTACATCTCAACCCCATCATTCCATTTTATGATACATTGAGTTTCTTGTTTTGTGCATGCATTGCTCAGCATCCACCCTTTTCCATTACAGGCATTGAAGATGTCAGCTCAATGGACCTTGTCAAGTGGATGACTGGATCCTCTCAAATTCCACCTCTAGGGTTTCCAAAGGAGTTCATGGTAGAATTTGTTCATGGTTGTCTCAAGGGTTGTTGTTGTCGACCAACAACATCAACCTGTGATATTACTATAAAGCTACCTGTTCATGTTGACAATGAAAAAGCCATGGAGGACATGATTGCTTCAGCTGTAAAATATTCTTATGGATTTGGCTTAATCTAGATGTACTATGTTTATAGTCCAAGATTGATTCAACATTGTCCCTGACATCATTATAATGTGCTCAGTTACAGTTCGGTCACAGATTTATTGTTACTTAGGGAAGAAAAAACTTGTTAGTGACATAAAAAAAACTTCAGAAAAGGAACAATGTCAAAACAAAACTTCAGAAAAGGAACAATGTCACTGTTGGCAATAGCTGATGTGTTAGTGTTTTAACAACAACAGATTGTTGTTGTAATGTAGAAAATACAGTTCATATTTACAATTTTGACATTCATCTCAACAGCATTTCTTTACATTCTGCTTTTTACAAAAAGTTGTTGGTTAGTTAAAAAAAATAACCTCTAAAGAGACGTTGTGGGAAAGCAACCGACTTTGTTCATCTAGGCCTAGTGGTTGATGAATTGATGAATGTTCCATAGAGAAAACTGTAAAGCCTTCATTTCATATTTTACATAGAGATTTCAAATTTTGAAAAAAGATTAAAACCCTCTTCAATCGAGGAAGGAAGCTGCGTGCTTTGGTGATTCATGACATAATGGAAGTACTCCTGGTAAATGTCAGCTCCACTTTCATTGTTTTCCACATTTAAATGCTGCTCCATTTCATCAATATTTCCACTTTGCACCACCCATTTACAGTCAACAGCACTTGACCTGTCTGGTAAGTGGAACAATACATCAGTCACTCCTGGTATAGCGCCATGGCCTAAGCGCCTAATACGATGTGTATTCTAGTTTTGCTTCACTTTGTCAAGTTCATTTTGTAGGGCTGCCTCAAAACAAAACCATAATGCTTTCATTTGCATACATTACCAATGTCCGGTAGTCCACCACTTACCATGTCCTTAAAAAAGTCTATCCACCAACCCTCTGCCTCGCCGGAAATGAGTCCACCATACTTCAATTCGCTGATGCGCAGGGGAGGACCCATACCTATGTGCTTTCTCCCCAGCAAACGTATCTTCTCCATCTTGGCGAAAATAGCACTGCATCCCGGACATTACGCCATTTTCCGTTCCAAAGTCAGTTCTTAGTGGAAGTGGACATCCGCCATTTCCCTTAACACATTCTATATAGAATTTAGCCAAATTTTCTAGCATATTGTTTGATCTTGTCAGCTCTAACCAGAGAATTTTACGGCTGTATCTATCTATAGCTCTATGGATGGGGAAGCCGTAAGGCTTCAATTTATCGTAACCTAAGGAATTAAACATTGTTCTGCTGTCACAAATAGTAAATAGTATTGCAATGTATTTCTTTTCTTGGATTAACTGGAGGTTGTGAAGGCACTTGGACATTTATTAAACAGGCGTGTGCCAATTTTTCAAAAATCTTTCAGGGAAAAATCGAAATTGCGAGGAAACTCTGCACGAGCTAAAAACACCAGTTTGAGACTTGTAGGATTGTTTGAATTGCCTTCCGTATATAGCTTCTGTGCATAAAGTAGCACGCATGAAATGCGTCATCAGTGGCTCCCTCTAGGAGCCACCCGCGGGTTCTTATGGTAACGCAGGTGCATTAATCCAGACTGTTAAATTTTTGTTTGCATTTTGGAGAAATCACTGGGGCTTATATTAACCTTACAAATCACTTCAGTTTTTTATGCTTTGTATTAAGTAAGAACCTTCCAGTAAGAGGTAAGTTTCATTTTAAGTTTAAAGCGCCTTTAATAGTAATGAATAGAGTTCCAGTGATTCAAAACAGAGGCAACACGAAAGAAAAGCAAATTAAGATTGAGGCTTTAAGAGTACGTCGGTATTAATCTATATACGTCCCTCGGCCCTACAGCCCTCGGGATGTATACGTATTAATACCTCCGTTTTAGGTATTTTTCTCTTACAAAATAAGAACCTTTTCGTAAGTAATTCATCAGCGCAACCATGCAGAGGACACAAACAAGAAGTAAAGCATAATAAAAGGATAAACCTCTTCATTCAGATGAGAGCATTCACAAGTATGGATCTTTTACTTCTTAAAATCCAGAAAATATTAAACAAATGGAAACTAGAGTAAAAGAGCAAGTGCGATAATAAATCTGGAGTCTGATAAAACGTGAAAAACATTCGCAATTCAGCTACATAAAATGAGATTTATAAGTCATTTACTCGTGCAAACCATTCATCCATCCATCGATCCAACTATGACATAATTGCTTAACCATCTTTAAGAACTGGTATTTTAAAGTAATGGTTCACATGAAGAGTGAAAAATAAGAGAAGCTCTCCGGATGATGAAGATGAGGATTGTGGTACCTCCCTAAATCAAGAGCAGGTGTTAAATGTTACCCATGGTTACCCCTCAACCCTGTCAGTATTCTCTGCTCAAGAGTGAACAATTAGATGAAACTAACCTTGCCATGGGACCGAAACAGACATGACATGGTAGAAAAGTAACAGAAAAGAGATTCACACCGAATTTTTTTAATGGTGCAGGTCGCTTCCTGAGACTGAATTCCCAAGACATCGCGCTGTATTAAAATGTTTTGGACTTCTTAAGCTGCCTGAATTACTTTAACCGAAAAAACGTTGATGTCAACTAGTTGCTTTGTTAAAATTAGGACATATTTTGTCAGAATATACTGAATTCACTAAGCGCCACTACGTCTTACAAGGGTTTTGATACTTTACCATAAAGAAAAACAGCTCACGTTTTACATGTTCCTTCTCCCGCGCGTGAATTGCTCTTCGTGAGTGCCGCGCACTTGTATCAGCTCGACTGAGAAGCGCGTAAAATTACATTTGTTCTACAGGTAAACCAGGAACTCACGAACTTTCACGCCGTGAAATTCGGAAAATATTACAAAAATCTAATATGGCTTCACTGCCGATTTCTTCTTCGTTTCCACGACCTAAATTAACCTCACACGAATATCAAGTCAAAGACCGGAGTTAAAAAGTAATATTTGAGACAGATCTGACAAAACAAGACGACAAGTTTGAACACATTGCTCTATTACTTTGTTTGAGTTAGTAAACTAATTTTTTTAAAATCAATAACGGCTTCATGGCTTAAATGTGAATCATATGCCTCGTCACTGCACTAAGATGTACCCCATGGCTCGGATGTTCTTGTCTCCATTATCAGGCTGATGTTTTGCTTTATTTCCGCACGAAAAAAGATATCCTGCAGTACCAAACCCGATTATGGAATTGCAAGTAAAGCAGTCATTCTGCTGGTTAGCAATGATGCCGATTCTTGCTCTATAGAAACCACGGTTGTCACTTACAACATTGAACCCTTCCTTGTTGCAGTTTCGCTGCAAAGAGGCTTGCGAACCAACCACCTTCTTCCACGTGTCACGACCCAGTAAGGTGGCGCGGTATTTCCCGTCAGCGATCAATGAATACAAAGAGTTCGCTGTCTTGTTGATAAAGATGAACCTGAGTCGTCGTCCAATCCTCATACCGAGGCAGATCTTGGAGAAGGGTGTTTTCCAGTAGGTTGGTAACTTTGTTTCCTGTAAGTCAAAGCCATTCTTGCCAGCAGCATCTTGATAGGTCCTTCTGTCCTTCCAGAAATGGGAAGAGTAATGGAAGGTATACTGAAATTGTTGACATAGCATCAATAATAGCCTGTTTTAAGCTCAGAGTCATCAAATACGCGTGAGGGACTCTTGGTGGCTCGTCTAGTAAAGACGACTTTTGGCGGTTGTTACGGAAACCACAGCCAACTTTGCCCCTACCCTTTTTAGCTTGTAATGCTGATCTATATCGTCAATGAATTTGCAACTGAATTTATACTTTACTGACAACAAAATACTAATCTTTTAGTTTCAGGGCCAAAAAATAGGCTTGAGCGATGCTCGATGGTTATTAAGGACTCAGCAGAAATTTTTCGCCCATCTATTTTTTCTCTGTATCGTCAATGAATTTTCTTCGCGGAGAAATTGTTACCTTGTTGCCATTAATCTTCATGATCGGCGTCCATCCTCCATCTCCGCATCCAAAGTCTCCCATGTGACAGAAAATAGAAATTGGTTTTGAGTCTAAGTGCAAATTAACCTTGCCACTCTTGTTCGATCTGTTGAATAAAATACTTTATTAGAAGTGGAGATACATTTAAAAGCTGATGAAGTCTGAGACTTGTACATATTCAGTGCGTTATATATATATAACTTGTTAAAAGACACAGGGTAGGTTTCAATTATTTTCAAACAAAAAGTTGCCTAAATGATTATTATCAAGGATCAGGAGCTAAATTGTTGTAATATTAATCGCTTATATCATTTTGATGGTTCATCTTATTCTCTTTCCTCTTTTAACTAGCAGTAATATTATATTATAATAGCCCCATAACTATACGAAATAGTAGTAACCCATCAAGCCGAAAAAATTTGGACGTGCGACCGTTCGACAGACCGTATAAGGTGCTACTTTTAGCATGAGCGGCCAACTTTTCTACGGGCACTATCTTAGCCATTACTAGGCTTGAGTCGATTGTGCTCGTAAAACTGGCATATTATGCTCCTAGCAATGCTCAAAATTTATGAAATTTATTAATGAGTTATGTTCGTTTCTCTAAATTATGCTCCAGGCATCAGAATTATGCTACTTGATTTTTAAGCAAAATAAAGGCAGAGCACTGGGGTAAACACTGGTGACTGCAGCCCATTATTTTAATAAACCAATTATCAAACATTGTGTCGTTGCATGTTTCCCCTGCATTTGTTCCTCAGAATCGATAAACATGCTGCTCATCATTTTTCAATCAATGGAGCTTCTTAAGTCAAAGTAAGGATGCAGAGTAATACGCTTATCAGCGTTTATTGTACTGAAGCATAACACCTGCCCGAACATAATCTCCTGGAGCATGGTCTTGCTAATCGTTGAAAGAGGAGTTAATTAATGAGACATTACCTGAAGAACTAAAAGTGTTCGACAAGGTGGACGCCGTCTTTTATCTTGGATCTCAGTCAACTCGCTAGCGAGTCGTACCAGTAGGGCCTAAAACCAGGAAACGTTACAACGACCGCAGTGAATCCACCGCAAGCGCAATTCATTATTAGCAACAACATTCTAGAAACATAATTCAGTCAAGAGAAGTATATTCAATACAAAATTACCAAAATTGTTCACATCGTGAAAGTAAAAATGCAAATTATTCCGGCAGTGCTTTTCTTTGAAAAAAATTAAAAATTATGCTCGTTTTGCCAAATTATGCTAAAAATTATACTGGCACAATCGACTCAAGCCTAGCCATTACGTAATGGAAGGGCGAGGGAGAAAGTAATGCGTAGGCGCGATTGCGCGCGTAACTTGGACACCCTATTAGTGTGCGCCAGGAAACACCGGCAGATGACAATGAAGTGCGCATACTCGAGTGTCGAGCTTCAGTGTAGCGTACCGCGGGTACACGGCTAGGCATTGTACGAGAGCCTCACGTGGGCTAGTGGATGTGAAACCGCGGATGTGAATGTGTAAAAGGAACGCGAAAGAGAACGAGAAAGACAAAAGCAAAAAGGCCAATATCTAGCGAAGAGTAACGCGAGAAGGAAATACAAGGACGCTACTGAAAACAGACTGAGAAGAGGTCATCAACAAAGAGAAACGATCTACAAAACATCCGAGAAAAACGAGGAGGTAAGTCGTGTCTTATCTGGGTTTTCTCTAACGCTAAGGCCCACAAAAATGCAAACGTTATTTAGCAATCGTCGTTTGATACTAGCTTCAGTTTATAATTAAAATCACGTCTCGATAAAACAATGGATTTGGCCTTCATCGCCTAAAAACCCTTGCGCCTGTTCATATTCTTCAAGGTATTTCTTGTCTTTTTGTTTAGAATGTTTTATACAGTCGTGGTGTTAATGGAAAAGAAGTTATCTCACGGATTTTGTTTTACCTATACTAATATACATGGAAAAATTACTCAGTTCTGATTGGTTAAAATAAATGATGATTCTGATCGGTCAATAACCAAAGAAACTCGCAGATAGCCAATCAAATGCGAGCCTTGGATGTCGCAACAAAATCTGAAAATTTGCGAGCGAACAATGGCCGGCGTTTTAAGTAGGTTTTCTTTCGCCACCGCAGCTGAAAATCAGCTCAAACAACGAAAACACTGTAAAAAGTACTGCTTTTTGGTTGTCGGTTTGGAAAAAGCGGTGTTCAGAGAAGGGAATTGCCGAGGAAATCGAAAATAACGAGCCGACCCAACTTAACACTTTGCTCGAGTGATCCAACGCCGAAATTAAAAACAAACATGGTTAAACCTCGGAAACGACGATTCCATTTCATCGAAAGTGATTCGGACACAGACTAAACAATTCCTTGAACTGTTTAGCCGGACTTTGAACTTTTTTGCACCTTAAAGATGTGAAGATATCATTGCATATTAATGTTTTGATCGTACGCAGTTGTTTTGACCGAATGCACGGTTTGAATAAATTATTTTTGCACTTGATGCGCGCGCTTTGCTTATGCTTAATTATGATGAGCCATCTCGTAATTTTTCCATGTATACTATTAACACGTAATCACATGATTTTTCTTGTGCAATTTGGAATAAACAAGCACTTGTTAATTTTTTCAAAGACCACAAATTGCACTCGCCCTACGGGCAATTTTGTTAGTTTTTAAAAAAAAATTACTAGTGCTTATTTATTCCAAATTGCACTCGAAATCATGTGACCTATACGAAAGTTTTCAAATGATAGCGAACGGCGAGCGCAAGTTTCTACCTCTTTTTCTCTCCAGTCAACTATCGCAGGATTTACTCTGTTCATGAAAAAAAAAATCGCGCTTTGTCGAAAAAGTGTTGTTTTAGCCTAAGAGCGAAGTGGTATAGCCTTTCTCAAAATTCAAATAAAATGAGATTGAGCCAGCGATGTCCATGTGGACATTAAGTCTGACGCGATAATTTGATTTTGACACTAATGTCATGTGAGAACCTGTCAAACATCTCAATTAAATTACGGACCGCAAATATGTGGTGCGAACAAACTCGCGGGTGAAATGGAATTAGTTCCACTGCGGAACGAGTGAACTTTATTGTTCAGTCATGGTACTTTTCAGCGCTATGTTTTCATGCTTTCTACTCGATTCGTACGAACTTCAGGAAATCATTTCGATTGTCTCACAAAACATGGAGCCACTCCCTCTTCTCTCAACATCTCGAGGCGTACATACTGCTCGTGTTATGATGAACATGCTTGCAATGCGATATTTTTTCCCTAAGCTGGAAACTAAAGAATTGATCTCTGAAATCGATAGCCATCACATTTTGCAAGAAGCATCGGAGCTGTGATCGTGTAATTAAACGGGGTCTTGGCGATTTGAGCTCACAAGCACATGGTCAGGGTAAACAATTGTTGTTTACAGTTTTTTAATTCGAGAGCCGTTTTTGAGAGTCCGTTTCTGTAACCTTCTTGGATATTTTCTTTTGAATTCATTGAGGTACAATCTCGGAATTTCATAAGTGATTATGAACGATAAATTCGCATCGGCCCCATAATTTAGGGAGGTTTTGTTTACACATTATCAGTTTACAATTCGTGAACCATTCCTGTAATCTACTTGGATATTTTCTTTTGAATTAATTGAGTCACACTCTCGGAATTTCATCAGTAATTTACAGCGATAAATCCGAATATGAAACACAAGTGAGGCACATTTTAAACTTTCCATATGATTATAGGAAACTATATTTAATCGACTCTCAATAAATTGACCTGCCATAACGCGTTGATTATTTTATTATTTTATAGCCCCAAAAGCTCGGCTTATGACTCTGGAGGTACCGAACTTGATATATTTGATACACAAGGCACCCTTAAAGGAGGAAGGTTAGAATAAAATGATTGCTTTTACGACCGTATATTGCACCCGGTTTACATAATTATGTAGATAATTGCTTAAAAATACATATTGTAGATTTCTTCAGAAGCAAAGACACGTAGGTAATATGCTTCTGCTTTATTTTTATCGTAAGAGGTTTCTTTTTATGTAACATATATCCATTCCTTTAATTTCCTCCTTAACCTGCCTGCAAATAAATATATGTTATTTGCCGGCTGGGAGGTCCGTATGGTGAAAAACTGTGACCGAGGTCTTGAAAATACTGCCCGAGGCCGTAGGCCGAGGGCAGCATTTTCAAGACCGAGGTCACAGTTTTTCATCATACGGACCGACCTTTAGCCGGTAAATAACATATATTTATTGTTTTTTAAACTTGACGAAATTCTTTCCGAAAGAACCCGAATGATTTAGGGCAGTAAATACGGCAAGAGCTTCCATAAACTGAACAATTTTTGAGTGAGTAAATGGTAGTTAAAATAGCGGTGATGCAAATTAAAGAGAGATGCCTCAGCGAAACATTTTCATTTCCGTAACGATAAAGATGATTTAAAAGGCTTCCAAACAAACTTTGAAACATTATTTTTACAAGTATCTGCCACAATCTGACACCTGTCAATAAGAGAGCGCGCAAGAAAAAAAAAGCGTAGGAACATTTGAAAAACATCAGTTTGGCAAGGGCTGTCACGACAATGTCTTCTTCAAAATCAGTCAGTGATCTAACGGAAAGTATTATTCACTCTCATCGACCATTCATTCATGTACGAAGATTTACCTCTGTTCATTAAGTAAACGGCGAGGAAAGTAATTGTGAGTAAATTCAATTTTTTTTATTTTGAAGTTGTGAGAGTTTGCTCGTTTGTTTGCTGCAATGGCGTGTGTGACTCTGGTATTTCCTTCACAAAAATAAATTCGAACGGCACACTCCAACGAGACACAAGGGAATTTAATGCGGCCTTTACTCAAAAAATTCCTTCAATTTCTGTTGTGCAATTTACGGTACAAATGTCTAAATTGAACGGAATTGGAAAGACTCACCGGGAGCGTATATTTGTTGTAGAACTTAAATTAAAACTTCGCTCGCTCTTTCACTACGAACAAATTGCTCGAGAAAATTCAGATATTAAATGAATGAAAGTTCCATCGTTCAGTTTAACTGTAACCAAATACCTCAGGTTTCATCTTTCTGGGTACTTTTTGTAAACGATTAAAATTAATTGCAGACAGTTTTTAGGCCGCTTGTCAACCAACGTAATGACACTATTGTTTATTCAAATTCATTCTGAAACCAAAATTTTTCTGTCAACCAAAGTGATTTGATAGAGAGAAAAGAGAGGATTCATAAGTTATTTATCGGCTTGAGGTAGTGACCGACGTGTTTGCTTAAAAATACTGCCTACCTGGAAAACGAGGTATATTTATGAAAAATGACAACGAAAGTTGGGATGTACTCGGCGACTCACGAAAGCGTTACCGTGGCCCGTGGGCAGAGATAGGAAAATACTGACCGGGTAAAGAACCAATCAGATTGCAGGATTCGTTACCGTGCCCTCTAAAAAAACAATAATTAAGTTTTATGTCTTAATTCAAGAGTGAGAAGATAAAACAGAAGTGTTGCAGAGTTCTTTTTAGACTGAATTCAGGTGAGAACATCGGTAAACTAGTTGATGTCATTGCGCCTCCTGAATCTTTAATTTTATTGCCCTAATCTTTTTCACAAAGCCTCTCTTATATCTCTGTGCCAGCCAGTGATTAAAATCTCAGTGAATAGACATGCCATATTTTATCATTGTTTTAAAATTCCATCCATACGTTTTTTTGCATTTACTATTTTAAAATTCATAAATGGCATTCTCTCTTCATCCATGTAAAGAGATATTACACATTTCTTAAACTAAAATCTGAATCATGAAGCCAACTTCATTTCAGTGAGTTTGAAACTTCATTGTACATAAGAACACTTTACTGGAGTATGTTATAACCCTATAACATAACCCTATAACTTTTAAGATTTTATTAGTAATTCTCTTTACTGTCTGCCATACAATTTATGTGATGTTTGGTTAGAGAATTTGGAATTGGATCAACCAATTATCCTCTAATTGATATTTTTCTTTATTCTCATCATTCCTCTGCTTGATATTGTAATGACTGTACTGATAGTGTAATGAGAAATTCTGTCTTGGTCACTAGTGGGACTAAAACAGTTAAAATGTGGGATTTCATTAATTAATTGTAATGATTACAATTTTCTTATGCTTTCAAATGTAACCAAAAAATGTGATGAGAATCTGATGTTATGAAACAATGGAAAAACCTGTTGCTGGTAGCTTATGTCTTTAATGTTTAAATGTTCATGGGAAATGGTTTTCTTTGAAAGCAAGGATACAGAAGTTTTCGAAGCTGGTAGAAATAAGCTGTTTGCAAGAAATGAAAAGCAAACTGACAATCATACCTTAATGCTTGACATGCTTTACTCAAACATGTCAGTTGTGTGTACCTACCATTGTAGAGGTGTCTTTCATGAAAAATATTTTTTGGTGTGACTGTTGTTCTTTGTTGATCTTTGTAGCCAAAAAAGCTTGTAAAGGCACTGAACTTCAATTTTTATGTACATAAGGCACCCTCCAAGGTGGAAGAGTAGAAAACCATGGAATGATGTTTACTAGGCACTTGCACTCACCACAATTATATATTCAAGCAATACTCTACATATATAAAACTGATTACATGATGTCTTTAACCCTTTACACCCTAACATCAGTATGCATATTCTCCATGCTGTTCTCTATACATTTCCTGATGTGCTGGGAAGGAGAATTTGTTTAACAATCAAGAGGTTCTTCAGTTGATTATTATTTCATTTATTCTCATGACGTTAATGCTTGGTTTAAGGTTGATATTGAAAGGAGAAATTAGATACTAGTCATTATCTGGAATTAAAGTGTTAATAACTGTACACATTTTATATGCTCCTCACATTTGTTGGCAACAATAGTTAAGATTAAAGATTTAGATATATGAAAAATTCACATATTTGCACTGCGGTGGAAAGATGAAATTAGAAGATCCTCGCAGCTAAGAACACTACTGAAACTAGTAGTTGTAGGTAGGACCTGAAAAAAAAAATTTCAGGCCCGTACGGGATTTGAACCCATGACCTCTGCGATAAACATGTTTATTTGCACCCAATTCATTGACCAGCTCCCAGTTGGCTTGTTAGCTCAATTGGTAGAGCGCTGCACCGGTATCGCAGAGGTCATGGGTTCAAATCCCGTACGGGCCTGAAATTTTTTTTTTTCAGGTCCTACCTACAACTACTAGTTCCAGTAGTGTTCTTAGCTGCGAGGATCATCCAATTTCAATAGTTAAGATTGTTAGGAAAGCAAACAGATGAACAGAAGACAATGAAATGAGGAAAACTGTGAACTTTACCCTATGGTAGAAGAAATGATCACAGAATGCTTAAGAAAGGAAACTTGAATTGTGCTAGCCAATTTCCTCTGTTGCCCTTCATGTTTTTGATCAAATAAAGTTTAATCAGTTGTAGGGTTTGCTTACAATGTGTTAAATCACTAGTGTGGACTTGATTCTTCTCAGATGTCAGCTGGTAAAAGATGGATACTAAAAATAGATGACCATAAGAAAAAGTACACATCTTGAAAAAAATCACACTTAAGTGGTGGCATGATTGATTTGTGATATTTAGAATGACAGAAGCAGGAAATTCTATTCAAATTCCTATTCACTTTTAAGTTTATTAGATTTCGGATTCTACATTCAAACTGTGTGAGATTAAATTTATCCATATCATGCTTCATTATGGGTTGTTTACATGGAAACGTAATTGTTATTACTTGCAGATGTTTGGTACATTTTTCCACTGATCCTACTGACATTTCATCATGCGTAGGGATTGGTATTGGCGATATAATTATAAAATTAAATTAAATGTTTGTGCACAGGCTATGCATCAAATATTTGTAATAAAATATTGTATCCTTCTTAAAACTAGTTTATCAGAATAAGAATGAGTTACCAGGCACAAGTATGGCTTTCACGATGATAGTTTCCAAGTTTGAAAAAAGTCACTGCCTACTAAAATCCTCTGTTCCTTTACCTTGACAGCCCAACCTCATCAAAACATTGGCAACAGGAGCGATTAGCAAATTAACAATACAGACAAGAGAGCCTATTCCCACATACACCCTCCTCAATCCCGTACGCTTTCTATGGACACAACATGTACTTCATTTGCTAGAGTTGCTAAGATCATGGGCAGTTGGCTTAAAGAAACCTACATTGTAAGTAGTTACATCAGAGGTTACCGAATCAAATAACAGAAAGAATCTCTAAAAGACGCCGGACTGGTCTCTTAATCCACTTGAAGAAACTCTTTTATAGCCAGTGCTGAAGAGTTTTATTACAGTTTTTATTATAACGAGGGGCTACAAAATAAACTAACAAGAGCTCCGCTTTTAGGCTTGGCTAAATCTCTATATTATCATCTTTTTCCATTCTATTTGGTTATCAGTGAATTATTTACTCACATATTATGATCGAAGATTTCCTTGCACGTTGAGGCTAAAACAAAAAATTGTAAATGATATTGAGCCTTGTTTGTAGTTATAATTATCAGGTTTCCTTTAAAATGCACCAAAACATACAAACTAGTTGAAAGGGTACGGATAATTGCATATCAAAACAAAGCACTCTTTCTGAAGCGACAAACCCTAAATGGGTGGTACTGCAAAATGCTATCAGGTGCAAGCCTCTCTAGAGGATATAAATGCAAAGCGTTTAACATAGGAACAAAAGACCCACGTTTCTTTAGAAAAAATCGTCACAAAGTAACCCCATGAAAACATCACAAGAAAAAACTTACGTTTAGTGCAAATATTTCCATATCCTAAGTATCCAGTTTTGCATGTACACTTGAACGATCCCTTGGTGTTGGTGCACACAGCATTGGCACTACATGTATGTGTTCTTTTAGCGCACTCGTCAACGTCTGAAAAAAAATTATATATATATATATATATATATACATGTATATGCATCGTAAATTTTCGATAGCTGTTAAAATTCTCCAATTAACGCTTTTCATATGAATGTGTGATTTTTCTACTTTGTGATTTGCCCATATACTCTAGCTAAGCCCTAAAAAAAAACGGATCAACGCAACTAAAGCTCGGTCACTCGCGTTTTCTCTGCGTGCAAAGGTGTTGGATTTTAGTCGTTTTATTAATACAATGACTTCGGAGCAACGAAAACTAGCAGCTTCCAAACCCCTTGTGGCTTCCTCACTCGTTTTGATTTTTGAAAGTATCCCACGGGATACTTTGCTCGTCCCCTCTTTGATGCCTAATTTATTTTTGCTGCTTTTTCTCTTTTTTTTTCTTGAATGTCGCTGTTATGACTAATCTGGTTATTGCTTTGCGACATTTGGTTGAATCGAACCCTAAATTTGGCCATAATCACACACAGTTTATTCAGATAGAGCATGGAAACGGTTCGTTTTTTGGCAAAATAAACTCGTCAGTTTATCTTTTTCTGATAAAGAACGAGTGGGTAGGTCCCAAAAATACTCTACACCCATGCACGTTGAAAGAGTTATTGCAGCAGGAATTTAAAAGTGGCCTCTGCTCGATCTCCTCCTTTTTATGAAAAGGAATAAACAAGCCCCGGAAACAAATTTTCTCTTTCAGCAGTGATTATGATTGGACGTATCTACTATAGATTCGTACTCCATAGATGTGCATTCTATAGATATGTATTCTATATGGAGAGAGTACTGTTTACCTTGACCACAGTTGCTACCTTTGTATCCAGCAGAACACAAACAGCGATAACCTTTGTCAGTAAAACCGCTCTGACAAGTGCCATTATTCTTACAGTGGTTTGTAACACAGGCGCTCTGCAGCCAAAGGGATAATGAGTAACAAGAATGCAGCGCAAGAAACATGTTAGACAAATTTCGTACTTCATTAGCTAGAGGTGCTTATATCATGGGCAGTTGGCTAGAATAAATCTACATTGTAAGTGGTTCAGCAATCAAGAGTTTTATTACAGTTTTTATTATAACGAGGGGCTGGAGAATAAACTAACAAGAGCTCCGCTTTTAGGGTTGGCTAAATCTATATATTATATTACGCAAGAAAATGATTGCATATAGATATTTTAAATGTACTCCTTCACTTTGTATCCTCAGCATTGTGTCTCTCTTGAGACTGAGACAGAGCCAGTAAAAATAACAATATCGGCGGTCAGCCCCACCATTTTTATTAGAAATTGAAACAAATTTGAATGATTAATTTGATGCTTTTCTTTCGTTTCTTGATTGATAAATCAGCAGTCAATACATACCTCAGCTGAATGATGAAAAGAATCTTGTTCCTCCCTCAGATCCTTCTTGTGTCCTTCACGAGTTACATTATTCAGCTCACATTTATAATTTCCATTTCTATCTGCCCTTTTATCAAGATTAATGCTGACACAGTCAGGTTCCATGTAGCAGACGTTCTCACAAAATCTTGCAACATTGACTTCGACGACGCGGATCAAATGATTGATCAGCCGTATACCATCGAATGCTTTTTCAGGTGCAAACTCCAAGGTGCGGCATTGGTCCGCGTCACAGAAGTCTTTATAGAATTCAAAATAAACTCAGTATGAGTGTTGAAGCCAAAATTAAAGTGATCGCAGTTAACTATTGGAGTTCTCCAAATATTCACAATTCGTATTACCACTTGCTGTGCTTTGTAAAAGCACTTGTCGCAACTTATATTAAAAATCTGTCAGAGCACAATAAGACAAAATAATAATTGTCTTTAATAATAATGATAATTCTAATAATATAGTAAAATATAATGATAATAAAAGCAATAGAAACGGTAATAATAACATAACTAATGAGAGCAAAAGTAATGTTAATAGTGACGAGAATGAAAATGATAATAACAATTGTTACGATAGGAACTGCTTCTCTGTAATTCTAAGCGTGACTTGATTAACGCGGGCCGGGTCTAATGGACCGATCTTATACGTAAATACGTGCATGATTTTAGCCCATGAAATAACTGGTTGTTTTGAAACTAAAAACTGTCTTGTCCAAACTTACCACGCAAACAAAACAATAATAGTGATGAGAATGACAGTTACGTGTAACAAGGTGCGAGAAACGTTGCTAGAAAGTGCGCCACGTTAATTTGTTGCAAAGCGCAAGGGTCTAATTTTTACAAAGTGCGACAGCTGTTTCAACACAAACTGCGACAAGTTTTATTGCAAAGTGCGACAATTTTATTGAAACAGGAAAGCGACGACTGTTGCGAAGTCTCGCCGCTTAGTGGTAAATAATTTTTTACGTCTATAATATTTGAAAGAAAAAGATCTTAAAAGATGTCCTTAAAGAGCCACATTGGATAATAAAGAAATATTTTAAAAATATACTTGTAAGAATTTTAAACATTTTTACAAAAGGCGACCGACAGAACACGCTCTCACGTACTTAGTGGAAAACCATTTTTCATTTCAATAACATTTGAAAAGAAAATTCATAATTTTTTTTTAAAGATATTGGAGAAATCTTGCAGTTATGCCTCTGAGAGGTCAAAAAGCCTCCAAAAGTTTTTCAGACTGCTTATTTCACAACGCGCTTTTCCACTTAATGCTCAGTAACTTCATGTGGCTTAACGTTTTGGTAATTTTAAGCCGGAAATAGTTTTACATGAGTATTTGGAATCCCCTAGACTAAAGACGATGAAATTTTCTTTGCTCCGTTCTGACAAACCGTGGTCTCATGAAATACACGTATTTCATAAATGAGATAACTGTTTTGTTTGTACAGATATACCTCCAAAGCTACAAAACATATCAAACAATGTTTGTGAAGAAAATGAGGAAAAGTATATTTTTCTGCTCAATTTCTATCTTTCAGTGATGGGTTAAAGTGTAATTTACCTTGAGTTGCAGAGGCAATTCTGCACAACACCAAAGCGATACAGATACCACTTGAATGTATGAACATCGTGGCAAACAACTTAATTGAAAAACTCTCGCAAACTCATGTCTAAATTAGCATGCAAGTAAAAGCTAATTAACAACGTTCTGTCATGAGCATGACTTTTCTTAGCCAATGAGGTCCCAGCCTTTGAGAACAGAAAAATTTTTCAAATTACCCCATTTCGTTCTATAACAATGGAAAAAATAGTAATTTAGTTGACAATTTGGTTAAAGAGAGCTCATCTGTAACTCGCACATTTTACGACCTACCGTTATATATCCCTTGGTTGCTCAATTGTCTAAAGAGGTCTTTATGATCATGTGGTAGTTTAGCATTGAACTAGCTGGCGGGTAAAATTTGACAGAATGTAGCAGGTGGATTTGATGTCTTCATTTCCACTAACCGATCAGGATCTTGCTTGGAAACCACTAATATCATTATCATTGAGTTCTACTCTGCGAATACCAATTCTGGAGTTACAGTGGTTTAAAATAAAACGAGTCATAAAACTTTCACAGCAGAAAGATTTTGGCCTTTGTGCCGTCCATCCCTGTGGTCAGCATCCATCATCCAACGTTTTCAATTTTACAGCGGAGAGAAATCTTTTGCAAACCAAGTGTTAGCGTATACACTTGGATCTCTGCGATGACACACTTAACGAAGGCTAAGAAAAACAGGAGGGCTTTATTCACTATAAATACAACATTTCCTTTGTAATAATAATAGCAGTATAAAATTAAAATTAAAATAAGACTCATAATCATCACACAAAATGGACTTAAACATCAGTTAATCAAGTATTAAAATTTACACTTCAAGATTAAAATTATTATGAACGTGCTTATTTGTCTCGTGTTTATTTTGACGATGCCGGTTGTTAGGAAACACAACAATGACTATTTGGAACTTATCACATGTCCCGGCTGATAAACATTGTTTGTGTCTACCCGTGCAATAAGGTTCTCCGGCTTCGTCTCAAGTTATAAGATCTGTTTAATTGATGTAAATGATGTGACAGTAAACAGCAATATCCTGTGAACCAAACCTCAGCAGGTACACTTGGCTTCGTCTTGGCCTTAAAGGAAAGGAATAAGAAATATAATTGTTATCACTAATATTTAAAAGAAATTTGACGACTATTTATTTCGTTTTATCAGTTTAGAAAGTCAGAAACGAACAAGCGAAAACGATGGCAGACGAGGAATAAAAAAATTCCTGAAGGAAAAGTTTTGATGAGTGAAACAGTGGTTGTAGGGTTGTAAAAGTATTTTGCAGATTTCTTTGCCGACATTTCTTATTTCGAAATGTCGGCAAAGAAAAAAAAAGCATTTGTCTTTTGTAATTAGCAAACAGCTGAAGAGAGCTATAACATCAAAAAAGTGAAAAAAAAAACATGACTAAAAAAAAAATGCTAATTTTTATTTTCTCAACATCTCATCACCGCTAAGCTTACCAAGCATAAAACAAACGCGCAGACATCCACTTCAGCAAAATGTTAACTACTTCAGGAGTGTGCCAGAAATGAAATAGGTAATTTCTGACAGCTAACGCAAATTAGAAACAATTTGGGTTAGCGCATCTCAGCGTGAGAGAAATGCGCATGGAGTAAGATGGATTACACGGGCAAAACAAAGACTGGCCTGGCACCCTCTATGTGGCATGCACAAGTCTTTGTCTCAACCAGGGGAGTGCTGGGATTTTTGGTTTTGCGGTATTGGCTATTTGTTTTATCGTTTTCTCGGTGTTTTAGCATTTGCTTTTCGGTTTAGTCCAAAATACTTACGGGTTTTGGGATTTGGAATTCCATGCGGTTTTCGGTTTTTTCCTATTTGGATTCGATCTGAGCAACAATTATGCACCTCCACTGATCTCGAATGAGGCTCGAAAGGCAAATGTTATTGATAGGAATGCATGACAAACCAAATGTTACTAAAATAACTTCCTTTAGGTGAAATAACATAGGCATCCGCGTTTCCCCCGCCCCCCCTTTTTTAAACGAGTAGAGGAGAGACGGCGAGGATCTCATGCAGTTTTCGGTTTTGATCGATTTTATAATTTTTTTTTCAGTTTTGCTGCTTTAAATGATTTTAAATGATTGCTAAACCAGTGCGCTAGATGTCATGCTTGACGTGAGCTATGACACGTGCGCAAAAAGACGCGCGTACGATAAAGAAATACAAAGACGACTACCTCAACTGAAAATTTGCGAATGACCTGTGATTTTCTTCCAAGCTTTGCTTAAATGCTTGCGGCTAGATTGCAGGGCGAGAGAAGCACAAAGGCGCAGACACGGCTACCGTGTCATTTTGCTCGCTTAGACTGCGTGTTATTTCACTCGCTAGTGAGCCATTTCACTCAGTGCCGAGGTAGACACACTTCTTTGCTCCACGTGACACCCACGTTTGTTTTCATCGTGCATCACCAACAATAGCAAAATTCTACCACAGCTTACAACCGCGACACGCCGAAGCCGACGTTAAACTAGAAAGTCTCCGTTGGCTTCAACTAAATAGGTAGAGCAGATTTCTATGCTTTTCAAAAGTAAAAAGATTACGTTTTTTAAAGTTACTTTTAAGAATAAAAGAGCTAATAAATGAGATTGGATGTCCCTTGAGTACTCTTTTACTTCGTTTGATATGGTCGTTATAAATCACTAGTAAATTCTCTATAAGACTGAGTTTGGCCCTTCGAGTGTCAAGAGGCCTTTACGTTTCGTTTGGAAATTACTTCCTTTTCTTTTAGTGGTGGTGAAATTATATGATACGCCAAATTTTCTCATTTTTCTGCAGTATTATTTTTTTTCTCATCTATGAACTGTCATCGTATTCAACCCTTTAGCCCCTAAGAGTGATTCACATCTTATTTCTCTCTACAATAACATCTCTGAGTCACACAATAAAGTGACGAGAATAAAGGAAATGACCACCGACTACATAAGTTCTTCAACAATTATTCCTTGTCAGCCACTTGTCCAGAGATGTGTAGAGAACAGTGTGGAGAATATGCATACTGATGTTAGGGTGTAAAGAGTAAACAAAAAGAACATCAAAGTGACAATCATAAGGCTTTTTTTAATTTACTGCAACTAAATAAAAAAATATATAGCATGCAGCATGCCAAAATGGTATTTTGTGATCAAAACGATGAGCTTACTTTCCTTTCTCGTACTGTTCCTTGCAAGGGGAGAAGGGGCCTACTGAAACTGTGATAAAGAAAACTTAATGAGCTTAAGTTTGAAGAAGGTTGATCAATTATTTCATAGCGGATTACCTGGTGCTTGTTGTGGTTGCGGAGGCGCGGTTCTGTTAACCAAAGCAATGAGTTTTTCCAGCTTTGTTTCAAGCGCTTTTATGGCCTTGCTGACATTAGAGTCTTGATTTAAGTCACAGTTACAAACCAAGATCTTGTCGCAGTGATTAATGTTGACAGATGGTGTTTCGTTACCGCTTATGAGCAACGAAGATCTCGCAACATGTAACAGGGCAACGCATATCACGAAATCAGCGATAAAACAAACTGGAAATGAATAGCGCATTTTGAGGATCTTTTGCAAACACCCTATGTCTCAACTTGTGTAGGAATGTAAACTCTGATCGATGCGGAAATATAACAGTTTCAGCATTGGGCTTATTTCATTACAGATAAACAGAAGATGTGATATAACACCTTTTTTGGCATTGGTATTTTGGGGGAGATATTCTCGGTATAAGATCTTTTTGTTTAAGTGAAGAGACACAAATCAGCGAACAGTATGAAAAGGTCTCAAATAGCGTGGATCTCCGCAAGAAATTGCATCGACCGTCTAAGAAAGAATGAAATGTGTTACTGATTTAACTGAGAACTTTCTAATTCTGGCTTTATCGTTTCTGTTAATTAATGTACTCTGAGTCCCAGTCAGCCGTGTAATTAGTTGGGGGGAATCAGCCATTGATTGACAGGCACTAAGGGGGGGGGGGCATAAAAAACAAGGAGAGGTTTGAAGTCGTGAGATCAATTTATTATCTTTTCGATGACCTTGTATTTTTTAGCTTCGTTTCTGTTGTTGTTGGCAGTTTCTGGAACAACAGGGACCGCGCAGAGGAAGGAACTGAGGGAAGGACGGACCTTAGCCCCCCCCCCCCCCCCCCCCCCCCCCAGTTGTGCCCCCAGTTGTGAAAAAAAATTGTTGTCGAGAGGAAATCAAAAGTCTCTTTAATTTTCCCCTGAGGTGGCCGGTTCACCAGGAAGAAAAAGGAGATCGTTTGGTCCAATAACGTTGGTCTGTAGAGATTATCAAGCTAATAACTGAGAAGATTGTGCCATTTGGTTCATCAGTGACAGCATTAATCATTTCAAATCTGTATTTCTCGGTCCAAGCAACACTAAAAATAGTTCCTTTGTAATTTTGTAAGCACTTTCCATAGCATTTTATTGTCAAGGGAAATAAATCTCAAGGCTCAAAGCCAACATAACGTTCGAGCACGTCAAAGACTCCCTGGAAAAAGGTAAATTTTTGGAAATTGGTTGTGATGAAATCCCTGCTCCGTTTGCTGTACTACAGGGATACTGAGTAGTGCAAAATCTCTACTTGGTGATGATTTTCGCGTGAGTCGTACAAATAAATTGCTACTGTGGCGACTGGGTTACATGTGATACTGCCGCTGACAAGTTGCGATTTCTGCTCTTAGGTTCTCAGTGTTTACGAGCGTTCAATCGAGGTTTCATTCTTCTTTTTTGGTTGTTTTCACTAAAAATGCGCGGAAACCTGCTGATATATCGAAAAATGTCTATTTCTCGTCTTCTTTGGGGCGACCGATGGAAACTACATGGAGAAATACAGCCGACTTCAACATGTTTTAAACGACATACAAGTATAACAGTGTGTCTTCAGAGGACTTCAGATCGCTCAAATTCCTATGATAGAAGGTGCAGCACTCGGAATCTGGACGATATGAGATTTCTCTTCGAGATATTGCTCATAAGATAACATTATTTCAAAGCCTTGCGCGTTTCATTCTTTTGAAACATTTGTTGTTGAGAACATTAGATGTAAACATCGCCAAATTTGCAATATCTGATTTTTTAGCTTTGTTCGCGAATTACCCCTATAAAAAGTAGAGGCAGGCCCTCAGAGATTTTTATATATTTAAAAACCAGAATATTATAACCAGCTAGGTGGGTAGTTTTAGTTCCAGAATCGGTGTACTTTTGGAGAAATTCGGACAACAAAAATGACCGAAACTGTACGGTGATAAATAATCTATTGGTGTGTTCACATTCACTCTCAGGGAAAATTAAATGTATCGAAGTAAAGAAAAATGATGTTGCTATATATGGTAGACGTGCCAATTTGTTATTTTGTATTTAGCTTGAGATAGAAAAATGAACATTTTACTCTTTTTTTGCGACCTTTTTTATGAAAAAGAGGCCCCAGGCCTCGAACAAGCAGCCGTTGTTACCATGGCAACAAGAGTGCTGCGACCTTTAAAAAGGGCATTTTTGTGCATCCCCCCTGAGTGCCTAACTGCATGCAAAATTTGAAGGGGGTTTGAAAATTTTCATTTCTTTAGAAAAGAAAAGATTCTTACAGAGACTTGTTCTTAATCGTGCAGCTTCTAACATATTATAAAAGTCGTGAATATCTCTTCCCCTTTTGCCCCCATAGGTTTTGTTTTGTCTTTTTCTATTATTTTCCCATTCCCTAATAACCAAAATAGCCAATCCTTTAGCTCTTCAAATATTTCTTTAGCCATTGATCCTCTTTCCAAAATGTTTCGTTAGGTCTGTGCTCTTAACAAAAGTGCTTCATGAAACATTACACCTCCTGAACCCGGCCACCATGAAACAATGATATCATCATTTCCTAATCCTTCTAACGTGCTTCTTCTCTTGCGCTCCTCCTCTTGTGCTCCTTTTCGGACAATCGTTGTTAATATGCCCTTGCGATAGAAGATTGAAAACGTGGCGGAGAAAAAGTTGGCTAGTACATGGATCATGTTGGCAGAGCTCAAATTAAATATGAATATTCAAAACTTCGACAGATTACTAGATAACTTAACTTGCAATACCTTCAATTTTAGGCAACTAGTTTGCTTTTAGGTGTATGTATTGGTCAAGAAAAATCTTAGTTTGCATTCCGTAAGGTAATCTGAATTATGTACTTCAATGCACCCGATTAGTGCACCAGTTCAATAATTAAAGAATGAAAGTAAACAATTGTAAACAATACACAAGACCTCATCCATCTTAACAGAACAAATAACGCATTTGAAGTGTTAGCTTATGGGAAATGCCAATTATAAAACTAATCATAACCATCGCATTTCCTCAAATGTGATTGGTGCATTAACTGCTTTACTGATCACTTATCATAATGTACAGTTGCAATCGGACAGTGTTATCGGGCAGTTGGCTGTAATCGGACATTTCGAACAGCCAATCAAACTAAGTCTTTTCAGCTAAGTCTACCAATTGATACAATTGAATACAATAACCATAGCAGCAACCACTTTCTAAACTACTACTGAAAAAAGGAAGAAGAAAAAAACTGAGGAATTTCTAAAACGGTGGAATTTGATACTTTAGACATGGTCCCTACCGGAGATGTCTGGCCTAAATGTATTTTTTTTCCTAAAATTGTAACGGTTATGATTGTTTATGATTAATCGTGTCGTCCTATTCTATGTGTAATCATACTCGTGATCGACAAATTGAATTCCCGCTTCGCGGTTGTCCGGTTTTGTTTATCACTAATATGATTACAGACGAATTAGATTCCATTCGGTCCTCTCACCACTATAAACTATTTGTAAAGCGGAAAATGTAAGACTAATATGATCTACGTTAAAATTCTTACCACAATGTTTCTAGTTAAGTTACCTCGTTTACCATGCTGCTAATCACTATACGTAAAATTTAGTAACAATATTACTGACGACGTAACATTAATTGAAAGTAAATGATCATCTTAAAATCATGAAAATCATCGGACTTAATGGCACATAGGTAGTTATCTGTTCAACAGTGTAGTTAAATTAAAAAAACGGACAGCATTCGGCCGATCAACAAAAAATTGGCGTATCTTGCGTGATATACCGACTGACAGCATCTCGAAGAAGTATTCTCAATTTGAAGATCGGCCACCTCTTTACCCACCGATGGTACCAACTCATTGAGGGGAAGGCGCTAATATTCTTAGCTTGCCCCGCCGCGATAAGCTTTTAACATTTAAAATTTTTAATTACTTGATGTGACAACATTTATGCCACAAAGAAAAAAAGAAGAGATGAAAAAAATGAGAAAGAATAAACGAAAGAAAGAAAAGTACTTCGATACAATCTAAAGTAAAAGGCTAAGTAGAAAAACAGAACAGAACAAAGCAAAAAGACATTTTGGTGCATAAATTCACCTGCGTCATCTCCAATTCTAGCTTATTAGTTTGATGATCTCCTCTGCAGTCAATGTTTGGTGACGAATATTCTATTTTTCGCCATGCCAGTTCGCTATTTAATGACAGTTTCTTCAGTAACCATCACGAGCTGTCGTAGAATGTGCCAGATGCTCCAAAGCGGAAATCGATTTAAGCCCAATAAGGGCAAAACCTTTTTCTCGTTATTATTTCTACAAATTTATGGGCAAGTCTACCATCAAAAATAGTTATTTCCTTTCATCTCTCATCTAATTTACAGACTTGAACCGCCGTTTTGTCAATACTATTTTTACTGAATTGACTCCTTGAAACGCTTAGTAAAAAAACTTGAATAACTATAAATTGAATACATAACTTGCAGACACAATTTCAAAAGAAATCATAATATTTAAACAAAAGACAGCGAGGTAACACTCAGGTTTCGTTGGTTAAGAGACAGCCAGGAAGTTCCCACGATTACGAAAATTTTGTATACGGAATTCCCGTATGAATTTATATATTTTCTGGAAGAAGGGATGCGCGCCATGACGAGTTCGATTTTCATGTGTGCTCTGTTACTTTCGTGCCTTATGATGTCAGCTTCTGCAATTTTGCTCGATTAGTTTCACCATTATTTATTTCTGCGCGGGGATCCTGAAGGGAAAGTGATCGTTCTCAATCATAGTTATCGTTTAACACCGGCAAGTCGTTTAACCCTTTATACCCAAACACCAGTACATTTTGCGTTTATGAAACTACAGATTTGGGAATCTAACCATTCACACCGCCCGAATCAGAGTCACAAGTTAACCACGAGCAATCTGTCTTAGTTCTTTACAGCAACATATGAATCCCTAAGTTTATATAGGTACCGAGTTTTTAGGAATATGTTAAGGAACTTGTTAAGTTTAATTTTCTTTTGTTTTACTTTGATCCGTTCTCGTTCATTCCATAATTTTGTATATGGTTACGAGGTTTTCTCACAACGTCTTGCTATGCAAGTAAAACGCAAGTAGATACTTTCAACGGACTCTCGCGGCCCTGCACTTTTTTCAATCTATTCTGCCCATTCTCGGACAAGAGATAACTGGTGATTTTTTAAAATGACAACGATATTCAAGTCCATAGACAAATAACTAATCGATTGCAAAACCATGAAAATAGGTGCCTCAAGTTTTGTTATGACTAGGCCTGCAAATGAAAAAGCATCGATAACATGACATCATCTCCAGAGCTGTCAAACTAGTATTTTGGACTTCCGCGTCAACTTCACTGGATTGATAGGAGTTTTAATCGTTATTAGTCGGCTCAAGCCGACCCAAAGCAAACTGCTTTCATACAATCAACACAGGGAGAACAACCTAAAAGGCAAAATACAAGTGGATGCTAAGCTTGTTTCTTCGTTTTTTTTATTATATTTTATTTCATTAAGTTTTCATTTTACTGATTTTTTTCCTGATATCTGATATCTTGGCAAAAGGCGGAACTATTCTTAAAACATATCAGTTTAATAAAAACCATGGTATTTTGATATAGAGTCGAACCCGTATCATGCAGCACCGTATTAAGCGGTCATCCAGTATTAAACGATCGGTCGTCAGACTTCAGAGTTTTTATTCAGTAATCACTGTAATTTTTATCCATACTGAGCGGTCTCGTCTATTAAGCGGCGGTAAACGCATTTGAGTGAGTCTCAACGGCCTGTTTTATTGTATATAAAGTAGAAACACTCCAATAAATATATATTTGAAGTAAAATTCATGCATATTTCTCTCCCGAAATCAGTGTTTGTAGTATTTGTGAGCAAGGTTTTGGAAATCAGTGGTAAATTAAGGTAGAAAATGGCTTTGAGCGGTCTCCCCGTCATTCTCTTCGGGCGACCGTTTAATACATAAAGAAATTTCATGGAGCATGGACTTGCATTACTCAGTTTCAGATTTCCAGTATCTTAGCTACAAAAATCATGTGAGCATTCGATAAGTACCGTGGCGATTGTGAGCCGTATAAGCCGGAGCTGTATGAGAACCAAAAGCATGTTATGATGAAGGAATCAAAAACCGAAAAAAAAAAAAAAAAAAAAAAAACTCGAACGTGTTCTAGATTCCTGTTGTGGAGATGATCGTGCTTGTCCACCAACATAATTATGTCACTAATTCACACTTAAGGAACGGAAGCTATCAAGAATCGAGATCTGAAAAAGCTGGTTCCTGCTAAAGTCGGCTCAAAATGAAGGTAAACGTAAATTAATACCAATGAGAATCAATCAATGAGACGAGGAGATAATTAAACTCTTCCTCCTCCTCTAGTTCATCACCATCGATGTTCTCTGTGCGTCTCATGACTGCGCTTATTCTTTTATCTAATTTTCCCAACCGTTCCTCCGTACAATTAAGGAGACTTTGAGAGTTTAAACAGAACGGTTCCGCGTCGGAACGACACATGTTGACAAAAGTTGTTTCGTCACAAAATAATTTAAATTCTGGTCCCCTTTTTCCTTCTTGGAATAAGTTCATGAAACGCTCCCCAATGAAATGCGCCATTTCAAGCTCTTCTGAACTTTCTTCTGCGTTATCTTTGGCGTCAGTGTAGGATTCGTTCAGGATAGATACCAACATATTCATAAGAAATATCGTCATCATTAACATGAACAAAAGAACAAAAGTTGGACCGATAAAAGGTTTATCTTTGCGAAGATCAGCAATTGGGACTGCCTTTCCCAACAGAAATTCAAATTGCGAAATGGCAGCATGCAGATAACTAGAGTAATGATAAACTACTCCTCCAAAAAGCTGCATTCCTGATATAACAAAAGCGTTAAATACTATGGCAAAGAAAACCAAATATGACAGTTGGTAGCCTACAGATTGTCGGAAAGACGAGAACAAGTATATGACATAAGGGTTAAAACGAATAAGATTTAAAAGCTTCACTGTAACCATAAAAATCGCAAGAGCAATAGAGGCATTTTCCCAATTAGCCCAACTTAAAGCAGAATGAAAATGAATTATTTCGAAAGGATTTTTTTTAATTGCATTGATGCTGTTTAAGATTTTCTTGGATCTGATCATGTAGCACGCCACGGACATTGTAGAAGAGATGATCATCAAGAAATCAACCATATTCCAGAAAGACTTAAAAAATCCCAACCGTTGTCTGTAAAGGTGAAACAACATCATGATGAGGTAGAATAGCACCATTGCCAAGAATAAAAATTGACAGATGAGATAAAACATGAGAGCCCCCGACTCCGTGCTGTACAACTCGAGAGTATCCACCCTCATAACCGTGTAGGCTGCACCAGCCGCAATCATTTCGTAAATAAACGTAGCAATGCTAATTAAATTCGTATTAAAATTGAACGCTGCAAACTCCACGATTACTGAACGAGTATTTCGATCAAGCCATCCATGGCCAACGGTTTCATCTAAAACGCCACGTGCTGTTTGCTCATCATATCCCAAGACAGCTACGTAGCCACCTCCTCCATAAGTGTTGTACACGGCTTTTACAGGATCAGTGTCTAGCGTTTCAGCTGTCTGGTAACGCCAGGGTTTTGGACAAATTCGAAGTGCCTTTGGCCAGGATGCATTTAAGGGAAGTGGCCGCCAGCCTGGAAGACTCAACTCTGTTGTGTCCTCTATCTCTGGAGAATAGTCGTAGTAGCAGTCTGGTATAGTTTCAGAAAGTGACTCACAACGACCTTCAGAATACAAAAAATAGGAATCATAGAAGTATGAAACGAATCGGGAAAAAGTTAATTATGTAAAAATAGTTTTGCAATTTATTCAACTATAATTATAACCAAACGCACTTTTATGAATTCTTAGCTGTCGCATCCAAGGCATGCCAATCGATATGGACATCTTATTAGCGATGTAAACATCATTTGGCTCTTCGAGGCCATTATACCAGTCTTGGTTGTATACGTTTGGTAGAAACTGCTTTGCCAGCCATCTCGACAGTCTCTGGGAATCATTCACCTTAACACGGAACACAAAAAGAAGTTCACATAACTGGACTGAGGAACTAAATATTTACTTGTATTATAGGTGAAATTAAATGAAAGGGATTGATATGTTATTCAGAAACTTAACATAATCAAGCTTCCACATTGCATTTAATATTGCCGCCTTTACTTATGTTAGCCTATGACGAGGCCTCTTCTAATCAAAAAACGATTGAAAAGGGTAAGAACTGAAAAAAGCGAACTAACATGAGTATTAGCAGGCTCCATTAGCCTTGTCTGATCAGGTCTCTCAAGTACCCGTCCCAAACACACTGCGACTACACCGTTCACTTCTTCAGTACACCTCTTCAGTCATTATGAAATAAATGTCATCATGATCATTGTAATCAAGACTCTATTTAACAGAACTATCGAATTTCATTGGTTCTCATTATCCCGATGTGAGTATTAACTAGGACAATGTACGCGTCATGCTTACAATTGCATAAATGTTTTGGGCAGTGTGCGCGACTTGTCTGTATAATTGGACGCGTCATGTGTGCACGCCGTTGCCGCGCATTTCTTGGGATAAAACTAATGTTTGCTTCTCTCTTTGTTTGCTCTTTTTTTTTGAGAAGTTATCATAGATGCTGAATTTTTTCTCTAATTTAGTCATAATTTGTGCGGACAGAAATTTGTTTGGTCCCATTCACTTAGTAATCATACTCGTAAGCAATAAATCACTCCATGATTACAGACCGAATTGGACTCCACTCAATTCAGTTGCCATTACTTATCATCGTTATCGTTATTTCTATCTATAAATATCGATATCATCATCATTAGCGCCACTATCACCATCATAGCTGTATCGTTATTATCACTATCACTGTGATCGTTAATTTCATCGATTTTCAATTTTAAAAGATATAAAAAAAGTGGTTCATACCAGATCAAAGCTTGCGAAAGTATTTTTCATCTCTGTTGTCATCAAGAAACGATTCTCATTCTTGTTGCCATAGGAAACTACTGACAGCAGAAACACAAATAACAAATGGAGGACAATTTCCCTCGCCGTACTTGCTAACCGAGCCTCTTTTCTGCTTTGTATGCGCATTTTCTCCATGAGGCTCTGTTTAAAGCGTTCTTTAGGATTGTCACTCAAAATATCCACATCATCGTTTTGGAGTTCACCCTCTTTAACAAGTCCCTCTTCCACATCATCCTGTTTGTTTCTAGTCATAAGAAAGGAAACTAAAATAACTGCTAACATGACCTTTGTTGGCTGCATGACAAAAACGTCTTGTCCATTGGAAATAAGAATGGAGGCCAGCCACTGCTCAGCGACTTCCTTACCCCACATTAAACTGTAAAATAACGTAAATGTTGCTGCTGTCATAGTGGTGAAAAAGCAGAGAAACCAAGCGATGTATACACAGAAATATGGCAGCATACAGCCTTGACCATTTACTTCATCGACGAGCTGTTGTGCTTGAAATGAATCTTTATATTTGTCTTCTTTCTTCTCCTTTGTTCTACTAGACTTAAACAGAAACACAATCAGAACGTTTACAGGTGCGACTATTATAGCACTCTGTACTCCAACGACTATTTGTCTCCAGGAGAACTTGAAAGGTCCAATTTGTATTGCTCCCGCTGACTCCCCGCCAATATTATAAAACATGGCATTGGCTATCATTGCACTGAAGAGAATTGAAAGACAACACGACACTCTTTGCACGCGCGTGAATGTACTACTGCACGCTTTACCAAAGACTGACATCCACAAATGGCTGTCAGCTATCTTTCTCCCAAAGCGCGATCTCACCTCCGCCGAAAAGGATGTAGCTGCTTTGCTTTTTATACTAATTTCTATTTGCCCATCGTCTTTTTCGAGTGCGAGCCATCTATTTATGGGGAACACCCAGCGTTCTTCTGTGTGTCTGTCTCTGATTACCACTCTTTCTACAAACCAAGATGGACTTTCTCCTGAATTATCGTGTTCCAAAGTTATTTCGTTTAGATTTCCTAATGACTCATTTGTAACCAGAACGAAACCATTTATACTTCCTCGACTGAAAACTTCCTGTAAATCACCATGTTCTTGAAGAGTGATGAGATCATGTTTATTGTTGTCTCCTTTTATGTTCATCAGTACGTTTGCCGTTGTAGCTGAGTCTCTCCAAACACCAGTGCTGATAACCATGTCGTAGTAGTACGTTCCTTCTTCAACAAGATTTATCTGTGGCGGTGGGAAAATCTGCGAAAACAAGTAATTACAACATAGTTTACCTTGTTAACCCGGTGGTGGTCCCATAAAAATAGTTACATCATTGAGCTGATACTGGGAGATACAACTTTGTATTATTTTCCCCACCCAAACTATTAAAATGTCCAGCGAAAACACCTACATAAAAGACAGTTTAATTTCCATTCACATCGCTTGACAGAATCTTCAATATCTTTGGATTTAAGGGCAATAAAGAGATAAGTGTAAAGAAAAAGCTGCACTTTGGTACACAGCGTAATGAGAAAAGAAAAGAAAGGAAGAAAGAACGCGAGACTACTGATTTTCTCATCGTAAGCTCTTAACTGTATTACTACTGCAGGATGATTTGTGCGTAAATATTACATACAAAATTAAAATGCATACCTTGCTTTGATCTCTTTTGTCAGCCCTCCTTGCAAATATAAGAGCTACAAAGTAAATAAGGAACGCAAATGCAATTGTCACGAGCACTGAGATGTTGCCCGACTCGCTAAGTCGCGCAAACTCCGTGAAAACTTTGTCGAAGTCAATGGGATTGGGAGCTTGAATGAAGTTTCCGCCGAAAGACGTCAGATGGTTGCAGAGGCATTTGAGATGCGTGGTGTTAGAGCCCACGTCGACCTGCCAAGGAAATATAAGAAATAGGTGCCATCAGTACATGTTTATAGATTTCGTACCGAAATTTAGCTCACTTTGTAGGATAATGTAGTCGGTTCTCCCTTTATAAGTCATTATTTGAAATCATAACTGGATTCATACTTACTTTGCAACCATCGGATGTCCATTTTTCCTCCTCTTCAGACCAATACAAACAACTTGACTGGGTTATGGTCAACGTGTAGTTGACATCAGTTTGTGGGTTATATTGAGGTAAAATCGTCTGAAGGATCCCTTTCGGAGGTGGATCTTTGACGCCAACGCATGATCGTCTCTGGCGACCATGCCCGAAGCATGACCGTTTCTCTCTGGAATTTTTGCCTGCATTTTTCGATTCTTCCAATAATAAACCTATGTAAATGTGACTTGGTTCGGTAGGAAGTACGGTAATTATTCTCTCTTCTGGAATACACAAAATTTCTTTGGCCTCGCTCTTTGTCACATTTCCGCACTTTGACGTGAGCTTTAGCGTAAAGTTGAGGTCAGAGTCCTCTGTGGTAGGTTTTGACGCAAATTTCACAAGCATCTTAACTAATGTCTCCTCTTTTGCCACTCCCAGCCTGATGGAAACAGGTACATCTGCTAGATCTGCGTAATACCTCCTCACAGTCAATTTGTTTGGCTTTAGAAAATAATGCTCTGATCCGTTGCTGGTATTTGAAGGAGGGGTGGAAATAGGTATAACTATTTCAATGTAATCATCGAGGTTTGAAACATTCAGTCTTGTTGCATTTTCCGTTTGAAGCTCGAGGCTAATGACACTGGACTGGACTTTCTTGCTGCTATTGTCCCAAGAGAACGGATTAAAGTCAGCACTTTTCATCTGCAAAAACACGGAAGTTATACTCTTTCAAGTAAAAGGCGTAATTGACTAGCAAGACTATTTGCTCTGACGGAGGGCTGACCCTCGAAAAATCAGCTTTAGAAACTCTCCGAGGTTACCAGTTCAGTTGATTAAACCAGTATTTTCACACTTTAAGAATCAATATTCTGCTGATTTAAGGCAAAAATATTAAACGAAATTTATCAAAAGAGAAACTTAACCTGCTTCAATATATATACCACGTATTATTTGACAATGTAGTGTATTTGGGAAACATTTCAGAGTTTATGTGCATGACGTTTTCACAGTACTGCAGTAGAGAATGTGTAAGCTATTCATTGTAACTGAGAAACTTCAAAGAGTGTTACAAAACACTTAGTTATCAAAGCTATTGGATCGAATACAATTTCTGAGCAATGAGTGGCGTATGGAGAGTAATTTTAAACAAAAGGTTCAAGCTTTTGATGCAACGCTAAAAGCGTTGACAGATATTTTCAAATGACATCCAATTTGGAAATGCGAGGTTTGTTCTTTATCTACACTTTAAAAATCCTTACCTTTGCATTAATGTTTCCATCAACCATATTCCCAAGATTTTCAGAGGGAACAAGACGGGTGAAAAATGCATTATTCAT